TGACGCGATCTCTGCCCCGATCACGGTCGCGAACCCTATCGCTTTCCCTCTCGCGGTCACCATAGTAGTGATGATGATGCTGTTGCTGACCACCTCGCCCACTGCCATGCGAGCCATGCGCCTGGCCCCAGTCTCGGCCCCACGACTTGGATCCTCCGCCGTAGCCAACACGGTCCCCGTTCCAGCTCCCTTCGCCTCCGCCACGACCTTTGTCTCGGCCCCCCATCGCTGCAGACTGAGGGCCACCAAGTCGCGGTCGGGGGCGGCCTGCGCGCCAGCGCCTGAGAGCCGCCCGCGCTAGGCAGGCTGGGGCCGAGCACGGCAGCGGGTGGGCGAGAGCCCTCAAGAGGGAGAAAGGACACCCGATGTAGAATAACTCCAGAAGGACCTCCAATAGCACAAGCGCCTCTATGAGGGGGGCCACGCCCAACGCATAACACCTCGATGCCCTGCCGAGAACAGTGCCCCGAAGCTGTCCAAAAGGAGCTGCTAAAGTGCCTGGCCACTCTAGTAGACTGGGCTTGGGGCGCTCTGAGGGTCCCGTTGCGTCCTGGAGCCATGGCCGATTCGGGTTCCGTGGAAGCCAATGAAGATGCCCATCTCGAACCCATAATACAAGATCTAACCATTCAAACCGTTCGCATGGGACCACGGGGACCTTCTTGGTCTCATGAACGACTGAGAGGGGCTCCTGGTATACTCGACGAAGGGGGGCTGTGATACACGACGAACATATCCTCTTTGACACTGCACACGTATCATCCACGTAACGCCGCCAACCCAACGTAGCTCCGAAGGTCTCCTGAGGGCCCCCTGACAGACTGCCAAACTCCTCTTGGAGGACTGCTGAGCCTGCCCGTTCTTCTGCTGACAAGTGGACGGAGACACAGGCAGAGCTCATGGTGCCCCCAAAAGCGACCCCCGTCATTGCGAATACGAGACTCCCAAGACAGACCAGATTCAATGCTGTGACGGCGACCACCGCCCGATGAATTGCTGAAAGAGAAATCGACCACCAACCTCGGCCAAAGGCAACATGACCATGCCGTACATGGAAGGCACGACCTCTCCGAACAAAGACCCTGTCAGTGAGAAGCTTCGAAAGGTACTCTCGCTCAAACGTCATCCACTTTTCGCCAACGCCCGTGGCGGAGCAAGACTCAAAGGCCTGGTTGATATCTACACGCTGCATGCACTGTCGCGGCCATCCGCTGGCGGCAGGAGAGGCAGGACACCACTCCTGCCTCGGGCAAAAGCTGCGATGGGTGCGGCTCAGCGAGAGCTGCCTCCATGTCCCGCAGCGCGTCAGCGACCCGATGCATGTCGTGGACCTCGTGGGAGCCGCCGACCTCGAGCATGACGCCCCTGACAGCACGGCCCATGACCTTCCAGCCTCGGGCGTGCGCAACCTCTGCCATGTCGACCACGCGGCGCCAGCAGGAGTGCAGCGGGCGCGCGCGCGTATGCTCGCCCACATCCGTCCAGCACTTCGACTTGATAAAGCAGAACAACCTCGGCGGCCTGACGGGGCGGCCTGGGAGCTTCAGCCAGCGCCGAAGGAAAGGTGGGAGCCCCAGGCGCGCCTTAGCTCATCCAGGCGTCCACGCCTGAAGGCTGAAGTCCATGCTGGAACTGCCACTGCGGGTCCTCAAGCACCTGCTTCAGCAGGTGGAGGCGAAGGCCCTGGGGGTCCACGGCCTAAACCTTGCCCACCTGCTTGTCGCCCTGTACCAACGCTTTGCTACTCTCAACAGCGTCGCGGAACGGCGCCTCGAGCAACTGCCATCGAGCTAGCTGTGTCGGCGCGTTGAAATCTCTGAACAAAAACAAAAAGAACGACTTCTAGGAGCCACGACCTGATCGATGTAGTCGAGGATGTAGGCGAAGCTGCTGGGTCCACGCTTGCCACCATGCTAGTACGGTAGCTCGCACCTGCTGGGACGTCTTCCACCGTCCAAGCTGCCATGGCCCTGGGATAGCGTGGAGGTCGGGGTGCAACGCCGCGTAGCCTAGGGTCCTGTGATCCTGGTCCTGGATGTCGGACTGGCCGAGGCCCTGGAGGACCTGCTTGCGCGACAGCTTGTCACGCCATCGTTCTCCTGCAACAGTGCCTACCCTCAGGTGTTGCGCCACCCACCGTCGTGCTACAGCTGAGCGGATGGTAAGCAGAATATCACCAAGGGCCCGCCGTACTGCATGGAGGCGCCGGTGGAGCAGCGGCGGCAACTTGAGAAGCGGCAAGACTAGAGGGGGAAGCGGCCACACCTTCAACATGTACTCGAGGGACTTCTTCGCTGCTGTCTGCCTCGCTCCTCCACGGACCATCTTCGGGAGGACCTCGTAAGCTGCGTAGATGCACGCCGCCACCTGGTCACGTGTCCACGAAGGGGGCATAGTGACGAACGGCTTCGGCATGACACAATGCGCTAGAAACAACGGGACATGCTCATACAGGTAGATGGGTCCAGCACAACACGTCATCGCCATTGCAAGCCGCTGATGTTCTCGATACTGCCGTCCGTAGGGGCCTCGAACTTGAGCGCGCGGGTCAGGTCGACAAGCATCAGCAGGGTCTCGCACAGCTCCACGGACCGCAGCTTAAAAGACAAGTAATGACCACAGGGACGTAGTCCTGGCCGCCTGCCGAAGATACAGCGGTGGGCGGCGCCCCGCCTTCGCCGACGGCCTAAGCAACACCCCGCGGCCACGCTGAAGGCGATCAGCCCCCGCGTCCGCACGGTTGCACTCGGGGGCGACAGCCCTGATGAACAGTGTCTCCACAGCGAAGGCCTGACTCTCCGTGGCCGTCGCCATGAGCGGGATCATGCCTACACTGCCCAGGGACCTGCGGAGAAGTCCATATCTTGGTAGACGGCCATCTCTTGAATGAGGTCGAAGTAGAGCTCGAAGATGTTCCAGCGCACGCTGAGGGAAGCCTGGTTGTCGTCGGCGTAGCTGGGTAGTTTTTCCCACATGCAACCCACTATGAGAAAAGAGTGCATAGACTAGACAAACCGTACCAATCTCGTGTCCTCTGAGGACAGCTCGACAAAACTGACAGTACTCTGCAGTCGAATCACACAAGCCATTCAGAAAAACGCACAGGTAGAAGTCGAAGTGCACGAACCGCCCAGCGGGGAGGACGACGTAGCTCCAAGGCACGTCGGAGCCGCACGAGGCCTAGGGCCGCGAGCCGTTCCGTCATCAACTGTACTGCGGCGGGGTCAACCTTCCCATACTTCACGTGCGTCGGGAAGAGACCCTCCAAGACTTCAGCAAGCGCAAGCTGAAGCGTATCCACATTCTGGGCGTCGAACTGTGCCCAGCACCACCGTTGAAGTTCAGGAAGCGCGGTAGGCCCTGGATGACGAAGTTGTGACCGCAACGGGGTCGCGATGTGCACGCCACGGCCACCTCCTGGGACTGGCCACTGGTACTGACGCGGGGCCGATCCTGGGGTGGCCGCGAAAAACTCCAATGTCATTGAAGGGCGAGGGCCCAGAGGAACAGCTCCCCATCGGCGTGAATCAGGTGATGCACCTCCTCCTCGTCCTGAGCAATCTCCTGGTCTGGGAGAGCCGACGCGGCTCTCTCCTGCTCCTCTGCTTCTTGGAACAGGCGCTGGTTGAGCCATCGCCACCGTGGCGCGGCCCAGACGTCGTAGAAGTGGGCGCGGTACTCACGGGAGGCAGAGAGGTAGCGGGCGATGGCCGTGTCGTCCGCGAAGAGCCTCAGAACCTCGATGACCTCCTTGGAAGCAAAAACAGCCACGCCGGCCACGGGCCGGGAAATGAAAATGAACACGAAGCCCATCTCGGACAAGAAGACGTCGAGAGAGAAAACGTTCGTGCGAATCTACAGCCACCGTTACGTCACCGTCGGTCTTGGCTGAAGTAGTGCAGTATGGTGTCGGCGGAAAGACAGGAATGTCGTGAATACGGTGAGTTATTCCTTTCAACTCCTCGTCAAAGAGAGCCGCTCCTCCGAGCGGTCAGCCACGCGATCGCACTATGAGCGCTGCCTGGGTGCGTCGCGAGCTCTCCTGCAAACTGTCTGAGCCGAGACACCGCGGGCCCCTCTCACGGTTCGACCGAGGTGATCGAGTCTCGACTGTGTGTGTGCCCAGCCCCTCCAGGAAAGAGTAGTAGTAGAAGTAGTAGTAGTAGTGGTGGTAGTAGTGGTGGTAGTAGTGGTGGTAGTAGCAGTAGTCGTACTAGTAGTAGTAGTAGTAATAGTAGTAGTAGTAGTAGTAGTAGTAGTAGTAGTAGTAATCGTAGTAGTAGTAGTAGCAGTAGTACTACGACGACGACGACTACTGCTACTACTACTACTACTACTACTACTACTACTACTACTACCACTAGTACGACTACTATTACTACTAGCGCCAAAACCGCCGACGCTATGCTATGCTATGCTATGCTATGCTACGCTACGCTACGCTAGGCTAGGCAAGGCTAGGCTAGGCTAGGCTAGGCTAGGCTATGCTGCGTTATGCTATGCTGCACCATGCTATGCTATGATATGCTATGCTACGCTTGTGCTTTGCCTTCGTGTTTGCACTCGCGTTTGCCGTTGCTTTTGCTTTTGCTCGGCACCCAGGGAGCGCAACTGGGGGAACCGCGCGTTTGGTTTCACCTTTGATGCTGCTTTCGCTCGGCTCCCAGGGGGCCGGGGGAACCGCCCGGGGCGGGTTCCACTGCCCGGCCCCTTTAAGCAACAAAAAGGGAGAACCCTTTTGAGCAGAACCTAGGTCGGGAAATATGGAAAGGGGGGAGGGGGGGGGGGCACTGGGCGAAAACAGGAAAACTGGGGTCGCGGTCGACGGTAATGTTTAACAACGCAAACAACTGTGCCAACAACACTAACACGCTACAGCGACGGAGCTCAAACTGCAAACGCTCTTAACGGTTTCCCGTCGCTTTTTTTTTGTTGGAGGCACGGCGATAAACA